CATTTCAATAGCCCAGGTAAACAGGACTAAAAATTAAATTATTGCATTCTGTGAAGTTCCTATCAGAGGCCTTTTTTTTCCAAAACATAAATTATGAAATATGATAAATTCAGTATAGATATTTTAATATAACATTAGAGACCTTCTAGGCTTGCAATTGTGTGTGTGTGTGTGTGTGTGTGTGTGTGTGTGTTTAAACAGGTGAACTTCATGTATATCAATTTCATTAATCAATTTATCTAGTGCTTATCAAACAAGCTAATTTCTCATGATAAGGATGGTTATATAAGATGAAACGGGGACTTGTTTTTGAAAAACTATACACATTTATTTGAGGAAACATGATAATAGGCATAGAAGACACAATAATATCTTTGGGGCCAGCAGGTGGTATAGCGTTTAAGGTGCTGGACTCCCACATAGTCATCCACAGTTCAAGTCCCTGACCTGGTAGCTTGAAAATCACGCCAGGCACGTGTGCACATATATATCAAAGTCCTAGGAGGAGAATGGAGAAGGGATTGTGGTGTGACCATCCGCCCTGAGGGGGGTGATTTCTCACTTTCCCTCTCGTGGTCTCTCTGTCTCTCACCAGTGGGTGCACTTGCCTCTGGCAAAAACCTAAAATAATGATAATAATATTGGTAACATGTGCTAAGCACTAGTGAGAAGGATGGCTAGAAAAGGCAGCAGCATTTCACGGGACAGAAAACAGCAGGAGAGACCGTGGAGATGCCTAGGCTTGAGATGTGAGCGTAGACTGAAAATGCTGCAGATAGGTTGGTCACGGCACACGTACACAAGTGCACACATGCATGTACATGCACACAAACACACACCTACCAAGACTGGTGTCTTTTTCCCACTCGTCATGTTAATTATGATCCTCCTTCCTTGACTCCTAAGTACTGTGGCCTATTTGGTGCCCCTCACTCCTTATTTGAACCTGTGCATAGAACATATTACTGAAGCTGTTTTCTTCACAGAGAGCTTGCATCCTGCTACCACTCTGCCCTACAGTTTTTACATAACTACTTGTTTGGCAGCACCAGTGTTGGGCTAAGCTCTGTTTGACGCCTAATCTAATTATGTGTCTCCTAATCTGTGTCTCCTAATCTAATTATGCCCCTTCTAGATCAGTCTGGCTGAGGTATCTGAGGCCATACCTCTTGGTTTAAGAGCCTGTAATGGAAATATTACATATTACATGTATAAAATGCATTTTATAGATGCATTTGCTAAGTCTTTCAGTAGGGCAAAATCTAAAATGTTTGCATGTTTTACTTCACTTACCTATTTCACTTTTAATATTCCTTTAAGGTGCATTTTAAAGTATATATAATCATTACAACTACATTTATTGACACTGATCATTTATAACCAGAGGGCATGTCTGCTCCTCAAAGAGAGAGAGAG